TTCTTTTCTTCGATCTTCTTAACCTTCTGCCGCTAGGTATCTCACTTTCGATTGAAGATACATACTAATTATACCTGTCGGTATCAGTAGCACACACAACAGTGCGAGTGCAAGAATTAGCAAGGATGTTCCTCAGGTTGCGCATAAATCACTGGCCAATATAAGTGTACAATTCTGCTTATCAAAACTTCCATCTAGGTTTATCTTTTTTTACAAATATAGTGGTTCCCATTATCAGTGAATTAATAATTTAAGGAAATAATGTTCCAATCAGCGCTAACATTTTACCTTATCTTCAATGACAATACTAGTGTAGTGAACGACAACACAAATGAGGATAGTTGAATGTACTTGAACACAACATTACAGAACATTTTAGTAATATCTGGGAATCATATAGTAAATACTTAATTTTCAAAGTATCAATCACTTGTCTCAAACTTGGCTGTTCCTTTTGTATATATATCAGTCGTCTCACATTTCATTATTCTTTTATTTCCACATCAATCATTCTTTGTTCTCGTTCTCTTTTCTTCGATCTTCTTAACCTTCTACTGTCCGACATTTTACTTTTAATTGATGACGCATATTACTTATACCTGTCGATATCAGTAGTACACATCACACTACTAATGATAATTCATAATAAAAATAATATCAACTATTGGATATTCTACAGTATTAAGAAATCCTTAGAACAATATATAAACCTAAATAACATTAGTCATAATATTGACAATATAAATGATTAAACATAATGAAATATAACTTATTTATTAATGTCATTATGTACTTCATATAAACTTTCTCGTATGCTGACACTTATGTGCTCAAATTGAGAAATATAAACAACGTTACATATACATGTGACCAAAATACCAATGTATTTTAAACTTGTAACGTAGAAGCACCAGAGGTATAACATCAATCGGTCCATGATCTCAATCAAAAACTTAATAATCACCACAAACCTCATACTGATAATAATTACCATGAGTTCACTAGTGACTGGCTTCGTGAGAGAATTCTCGGAGTTCTAGTGAGAAGACATGATCAGTGGAGCTAGTCCGTGTCGGGTAGAAACAAGTATCTACCTCAGTACAATGGAAGATGGTCACGCAATTAGGTGGATTGTTTGATGTTGGACATTAACGCCATTGGATGCTGATTGGCTCAGTGGTCTAGGGGTTAAGCGCTCGCGTGCGAGACTGAAGGCCTTGAGTTCGAATCCTGCGATCGGGATCGTGTATGCGCACTGCCGAGGAGTCCCACAATAGGACGAAATGTTCGTTCAGTGCTTCCATGTTCTTAATGTTGGTCTAACATCAATCGGTTCATGATCTCAATAAAAAGCATATTAATAATCTCAACAACCCTATACTGATAACTTATCATTCATCATACTTTATGAATGAATTGTATAATTCATCACTACACTATATCTATAGATCAATCAATCAATTATTTTAGGTCTGAAAAAACTTCACCTGGTTAACCATCTAGTTATGGCATATGAATTATTACATAATATTAGTTTATGTACTGTTCAAAGTACCACTTAATACATATCACTTAACCAATTGATAGAATAAAAACATTATCTTAAACTATCCAATTTAATTGAGACTTTTAATTGATAAATCAATGCAGAGATAACAATTTTTCAAAAAAAGAAAGGATTCGTTCATTTTTGTGTAATAATAAGATCCAACGTATTTAGTTGCCTAAGTAAATGGATATGTGAGTTAAGACTATTGGAATCAAATTACTAGATAGTTTATTCCCAGTTTGTTTCATTAAAGTACAATCAGTCAGTGAATTATGATTGATTTGTTTCATAATGTAATTCATAAATGAATTCGGCAAGACTATAAGTTATGAACGAACCAATCATGTATAAGATAATAGGTCTCGGATTTCGATACGAAATTCACTCAACTATTTGGCTAAATAGAGTTTTGGTATTATAGCTGATGTCAGTTCGTGAAGAAAACCTTAAATTTATTTCTTAACATTAAATATCAACTGTAAATCAGAATTCGAATTTCTCACACTAATTTATGACCACCATTTAATCCTAGTTACTAAGTGGACTTTCTCAAGGCCACTTTAGCATCGCTCAAAGGTCATCCATAAATTATAGTCCCACCAGTAATTCAATTAATGAAAATGTATAGAAGTGTTCAATTGCTTGTTAGTTTTGTACTGTCTTAAAGAGACTGTTAGTATGCATGTGGGAATATTAAGTAAATAGGAAATTACCTCGAGGAATAGTGAATACAATAAATATTTATAAAGTTCTATAAATGTTCTGATTCTATGATTTCTATAAAAATGTTAATCGTTTTGTAGTGAACAAGAACTCATATGGGGTAAATCAATTTATATCTGTCAGCATAAATAGCATACACCACACTTATCCTCTTTTTAAACTATCGCTCCTGAAGTTGTTCTGTTCGCTCTGCTACTTTTTTCTTTGCCGCAGTCTATGCCATGCTCCCCATCGGAATGTTAAGTTCACCAGCGCGCTGGCATCTGTACCTCTGTCAACCTGCCAGGCCACCTAAATCCGATGTTCACCCAGCATCCGAGACGACCTACGTCTTCCCCTTATCGACAGCGACTACTACATCCAACACTCCACTTGATGTCTTCTTCCTGGGTCAGACTGTGCCAACTAGCGACTCCTCTCCAGGTCCTGCTAAAACGCCTTCCAAATAATTCCCTTCTTTCCATTTCTCCTTAGGCGGTGACATCAAATGTAGTGAACGAGAACTCTGGTGTGTGCTATTTACGCTGATAGATACAAATTGGTTTTCCTCACCTTAGTTTCATGCAACAATTGAACAAATACCAAAAATAATTAACCTACTCCTATTGATTAGTGATTGTTATTAAATTCGCTTCATCTATTACACTGTAAATACAAACTAGTCAGAAAAGAAGCAACTACTCACCGATGAGATTGTTTAAGGATTATTTTTCGACTGTAAACTGAATGAAACCATAAAATACAAACTACTAACATCTGATTTATTTTCTCAGTGATATCATTCTCACTTCAACATTTAAGGGTTTATCTTTCAATCTTCTATTCGATATGTCTATCCATTAATGCAAAATTGTAAGCTTTTACTATAGACTAGTTCACTACTCTATGCATCAAGTAATCTGCAATTGATAACAATTCTTAATAAATCTATTACTAAGGCAATCAAATACATAAAAATCCCTTTCAACTAAATTGAAGATCAATTCTATTTTCTTTTATTTAACTTACGTAACCCATAGTAACACCCATACACGTATAATAGAGTAAGTTAAAATTTAATATCATTAAGGCATAATAAGTAAGTATTCTAATCTTTTACAATTTGAATGCATGTTTAAAATAAATGAGATTTATCAATTGATTTTTCCAACTTATTAACCAATGAACTAAGAAGACGAATTTCTTTGTATATCCTCAAGAAGTGTGGATTTTACATGTGTATGTACATACTAGACTACATTTCTTAATAATAATAATAAGACGTAATATTATTCCATAAAGCCGCTTATTGTTAGCAATAAACAAGTAACCTTATTCAAGATAGTCTATTCTGAACAAACAGATAATGCTAGACTACCATTGAAAATCTGGAAGCACTGGACGGCCGTTTCGACATGGTATGGGACTCTTCAGCAATGCTCATCGACAATCCCGCACGTGGGATTCGGACCAAGGACCTTCGGTCTCGCATGCTAATGCTTAATCGTTAGACCACTGAGCCGGCATCCAATAGTGTTAATATCTAACTTCAATCGATCTATGATCTTGCGCAACCCTTTGAAGTGCTGGCTTAGTAGTCTAGAGGTTAAGTGTCCACGCGCGAGACCGAAGGTCCTGGATTCCAGTCTCACGCTCGGGAACGTGGATGTGAATCTCTAAGGAGTTCCATACTGTGACGAAACGGCCGTCCAATGCTTCCAGGTTTTTAATAGTGGATTAATTTAGATGGACTCATAAATTCAGCTAATTTGAATAACATAACTCTCGCAATAAGAAGTCCACACTTTGTGCCTTTCTTAGATGTGGGAAATCAATCTATACGTCGCACAGCAAATGTAATATTTGTAAATATATACTAGCTCATGGATATTGCATTTACTGTCATATATATAAAGACATATTCTAGGGCTTATTATTATAATCATTAAAGATATGAATTTAAGTGAGATTAAGTTTATAACAATTTGATTTGCGATTTTTTCAAATAAATGATAATAACTTGATAGTTTTTTTTCAACAAGGCTGTTACACACCAACATTAATTGCTTGAAGGCAATCAGCAGACGTTTTAAAACCTGGTTAATATCTGATTGATACTTTCTAGCAAAATGCATTTATGATCCTGAAGAAACTTGTTCATCTTAAGGAATTCGAATCCATGTTGCATAACATCAAAAAAGTGACGGTACAAGAGAATTACTCAGATCTTCATAGATCGTTGTTTCTAGTTGCGACTGAAAATTTAAAATTCTTGACATTACTCACGCCGTTAGTGCAAGATATCGTATTATGGCTTTCAGTGTTATATTTAAACGAAAATATAAATCATTATAAGTAAAGATGGATGGTGGCTAACATTGGAATACAGAAAGCACGTTTCACTTTACTTAGAACTCGTCATTCGGATGTACCTGTATCCCAGAATTGATGTCCCAGAGTAAACATCAACCTTGGGATGAAGGTACATTCACCTAACGAGTCTCAAATAGGACGAAACACAAATCAAACTAGATTCCACTACTAACCACTATTCACCTTTGCTTATAAAGCTTGTGATTTAAAGCGATATCGAGGCAATCCGCACAGTATGCACATATACTAACAAGAGACTGATCAATTACAGTCCTAAACATCAGGTAGAGACGATTCAAGTAAACAATACCAAGTGAATCCAAGTTATAAATCATTAATAAGTATTAAACACATTGAAAAAAGACACTAGTCTCACCTTTTATATTCAGAGACATGAATGTATACAATATTATCTACAGACATTATTCATTATAATTCATGTAAAGATGTTTTAAAATCTTCTGACCATTGACTGTTATCTTCAATAACTAATGTATGTGGTTTTCTGACAGAACAAGCTAATGGTGGTCTACCATGACCTAATTTTCTTTTATTTCTACGATAATTAATAACTGGTGATTTTTTTATTTCACGTAATGGTGCTGGTGATGATTGTCTACTAGAAAGACGATTTCTTGAATTATACATATATTTATATTCTCTTTCTTTATGTTCATTCATTTCTGTTGTATTCACAGCAGTTGATGAAGATGATAATGATGATGAAACGAATGGTGGAATTAATGTTTGTGAAGATGATTTTTTTATTTCTTTATCATGATAAAGTAATGGAAGATTGATTAATTGATGATTCTTTCGATTTCTATATGGAATTGATGTTAGTTGTTGATTAGATTCAATTGAAAGACCATTTAATGAATCGTTTAAATTACGTTTACTATTTTGTAAATCTAATCTATTAGCTAATGATACTCTTCCATTATGATAACCATTACTATTATTACTATTATTATTATTATTATGATTATTGTTTAAGCCATTCCTTAACGATCCATTCCACATACTACTTGAATATGATATTGATCGATTTAATAAAAATTGTTGACTATGATTATTATTAGTAGTTTTATAAGTAGATATTGGTAAAAATGTATTAAAATATTGTGAATTAAATGAAGAAGAATTATTAGGAAATGAATTATGACGTTGATTTAATTTCAGTTGAGATCCAAATAAATATGAACCTGATCTAGTTGATATTAATAATGGATAATTATTATCATTATTCGCTGTATAGTTACTATGACGACCAGTCATATAATCTTGATAAAATTGATTTTTTGAATGTTTTCGAATTCTTTTCCGTATCCATAATACTAATATAATAAAACAAATAATTAATATAATATTTAATATAGCTAATAGAATTAATCCATTTGTTAAATATTCCATTGATATACCATCTTTATCTTGATTGAATACAATTGAAATGGTTTTATTATAATTTGATTTTTGATCTAAAATATTCATTTCTTTATGATTAGGTGACCAAATATTTGATTGATTCATTGAATAATCAATTGGATACATTTTGGTAGTATTCATTTTTAATATTGATTTTATGAGGTTTGTAGTTTTGTTTAGTTTTATCATGAGATTTGTTTGATTTCCAGTAGTAGTAGAAGTCGAAGTCGTAGACAGTGAAGTAATAGTGGGTCGTATAGATGTCGTCATTAATGGTGTGGTAATAGTTGTTGTCGTTAACGACGTTCTAGGAGTACTGTTTACTATTGTCGCTGTTGTTGTTGTTGTGTTTATAGTTGTAGGTATTATAGCCATTGATGTAGTTGTAGTTTGTATTTCTGTTGTCTGTTGTAAAATAGTCTTACTTGCCTGAATATCTGTTACCGGTTTATCATTATATGATTGTAAACATTGACTAGGATAGTTCATTTTTAAATCTCTAATAAGATTTGTTTGATTGGGATTACTTAAACATTGGTTATCATATAATATTTGCATACCAGTCTCTTGTTTTACTGACTGGGGTGAATTGATTAATGACTTAGGTGAGATCAAATAAGATGGTATGAAGGACTTCAACAGTTTCTCAGGGTTGTCAATCGATTGTTTTACATCACAAATAGGATATTTACTGCGCCAGTGCCAACAAATATAGAGATCGGGACAGTGAGTAAGACGTAGTTGCCAACTTTTCCATGGGAACCATAAACGTCTAAACGAAGGGTTTTGATTTTCATAGTCACAAAACAAAGAAAGACGAAAATAAGGCGGACCTTCGACTAAATAACCTGCATTATTTGATGATTCCGATGTTTTATTTGTATTAGGTATAAAACTATCTTCATCCCAATTGAAAGGGTTCCATAAACTTAAGTGTGTTACACGTGATTTTGTTGCTAGATTGCCTAAATCGTCTCGTCCAAGACGTTTGAAATAAATAAATGAAATTGTCAAATGAACAGGACTTAAAGGCATTTTCAAACTTAGTCGAACTGTTTCAATAATCCAATTTAATACTCCTGGTTTTAAATGACTAATTCGTAATCTTGAAGCACTATTTGACTTTGAAGATAAATCATCAGCGCTTATTGTGGATGGTTTTAACACAATCCGTAAATCATACCCTTTTCCATGCTGTTTAGATTGACGCTGTTGATTAGAATCTGCACCTGGTGACGGTACATGCCAATAATGGCAATCAATCATTGTATCTTCATTAGTAACTTCAAACGATTGACTTTTACAATCAAATGTTAATTCATCTGTAGGAGATAAACGCTTTGCATAACAATAAACATCTGGACATAATGATTCACCAACATCAAAAATTGAATAATTAAATTCATTTCCAACAGTTGATTTGTCAAAATATTTAGATTTATCAATTGATTGATTGGAATTTCTTCTTTTCACAGAAATTGATTCTGTATGATATACATTTTTTGGTGTTATTTGTTCTTTGATAGGAAACTTTAATGGTTTATTTTCTACATCTATATCATCTATTATTAAAGGAAATGTTAAACTATCAATAATGGTAGGTGAATCAATTTGATTCAATTCATTTTGAGCATTTACACTTAACAGTGTCATAACAATTACATTGATTAAACATCTATGAATATACATTTCAATCAATGGTAGTCATATTATTTGTAACATGTTTATTCCAATCTTTCATAATATCCCAATGTGTAAATATTCTCCTAAAAATAAAGATAATTCCAAATAAGTTGATCATCTAAATTTATTTCAATGTTATATATCAGAGAAAGGTATTTCACTAAATCAACTACAGCTGTATACAATGACCACGTGTCCATTTGGTTTAAACTTATATCTCCATTTTCATTGGTCAGCCTGTCGACTTATTTCTGATTGGTTAATTGAGTTAGCCAATCATTATCATTTGACCACATGTTTACATACATAATTAACCATTAATGTTGAAGATATTATAATGAAATCTTTGATTTCTATCATATGTGAATTAATATGCATACATTCTTCATTTTAAATGTTTCGTTTACAACTTACCAAACTAAATAAGTGATCAGATCTAAGAATATTTTAGGTAGGTACATGTCTTACTGTGATATTTAAGAATTTCTTTTCGTTTTAAGTGTAAACAATGAAATTTAGATTATATTACATTCATCTGATGAGTACCAAATAGAACGAGATGAGCGTTCTAGATCCAATCACTATGCGTATATGTGATAAAATACTCTATCGATTCAGTCGGCTCAAGATATGCATATGACAAGAAGGATAGATTACTTGCAATCTTAATTAACAACAACTTGAAATTATAAGCTCATGCTTATAAATCAGTAATCATTTGGTGACATTTTTCAAGAAAACAAATAGTGAATGGCTGAAAATCTTTGCAAAAACTATACCGTTTAGTTGAAATACAATAGTACTCAGTTTTAAAATCATTGTCTGCATACTAAAGTTAAATCTGGATGAATAGGTTTATCGTTTTCACAGCGTAAATAGACACTAGAAAAAGTTTATTTAATTTGTATTGACGTTATAACTAAAGTTTTATGACGACTGAATTGATTAACTGAATTGTATTTATAAATATCACAAATATAAACTAGTCTATTAAGAATATTTTAACTTGCATTATTATTAAAGGGTGACGTGTTAAGTCAAATCACTTCAGGAATGAAACAATTACTCTCTAGTGAGATGTATTGTGAATAGAATGAAACTTACAAAATTCTGGACTATTAGATCCTATCTTCTTGGTTAACTGATATTATCCTAATTGAGGTATGAAGATGATGACAAACCTCTATGTCATTGGAACTTATCAACATGTAGCCAGTTGTCTATCCCCCCCCCTCTTAGTTTTTATTATACTCTACTAGATATAATTAGGTACTGAAGATTACGTACAAATGTGTGAAGTTTTGTGAATGAAAAGTATGAAATTAAACTAATCTCGTAGCACTTGAAAGACACTGATGTGAAAATATGCAGAATATAACTGTTGATGACAATTTAAGCAAATTAGGATGGTATTGAAAATCTAACCTAAATCACTAAATAAATACATTGGCTAAAAGGAATTACATTCACATAACCCTAAACTCTACTTCATTTGAACTATTTTCTTCAATATTGTAGAGTGTTATTTCATTTTCTATTTGCGTCACACATGAAATCATCATTCGTATAATGCTTGTATAAATTAAATTAACCAATTACTGTAATATTCAAACTAATGTTGTTTAGATTCTGTATAGCCTCCAGAGAAAATTTAGATACTCGACTCTTTCTATAGGAAAATTTGACTTCGAATGGCTGTATTGGATACAGTGTCAATCATATGTATCATAATTATGAAGTACATAAATACCCAAACGAATATCACCACTAGGCCATACGATCGAAAGAGTGATGCTTTCAATAAAGGAAACATGTACAATGAATACATCAGTTTACTTCAGAGAATGAATAATCACAGTCTTTAATAACAACACACATTTATATTAAATAAGCGCAAAGTCGATAACGTGAATCTCATGAGAATCAAAATTGTAGTGAATATACAACGATAAATGTACCAAAACCGTTAACTCTGCATTTTAGGGAAGCTAACAAGTTACCGTCACACATGCTTAAGGACTTCCACATACATTTATAAAAAATGGATCTTGCAGTCACAGGATTCATCAGCAAACTTGAGCTAAAACACTCAGAGTTCAACCAACGTTATTCAAATAATTTAAATCACAGGTTTCTTTCGTTTTGATGACCCACTATATGATTAATCAAAGCAGTTACTGATATCTTTTGCAAATTTTATTGGTTTATTCTATACTCCTCCATTATGCAGTGTATATTTGGATACTATCGTGAACTAAGGTAAATACATTCCATTTGAGATTTTAAAAGCTATTACAGTAACATCGCTTTTTGTTCATACATGACTTGATCAAATTGTAATAACAAATATCAAGTTCCCTAATTCTGATTATTAACCGATTTTCATTTGTTTTAAGTTACAATATGGCTTATGGTGTCACGATGATCTTACATTGAAGTTAATTGGTTGAAAGATTCCACTCCATTCACATATCAAGTACTTTAGTTATAACACAAACTAGGACAAGCTCATTCTAAACAATGATACATATATCATTCGTAAGTAGAATGTATGGTTAATTCGATTATACCATCTTAGAGAAGCTAGTACACGGATTTTCACAGTCAATGCATATTTCCACTCTCACTGATCATCTCAATTGTTAAATTATATTCCTAGTTGATATTATCATAAATGTTAATAATTATAACTTCAGTTTTATTGAAATAATCTTATGTTTACAAATGAGATTCTTTTTACAGAAGAACCTATTCTCATCAGGGAGGGGATTTGTGGATATTATAGTAATTTAATTGTTTAATTCATGATTCAATTGAAGTGAGATCATCATGGAAAACCTGGAAGCACTGGACGGCCGTTTCGTCCTATTGTGGGACACCTCAACAGTGCAAATCCATGATCCCGTCCTGTGAGATTCTAACCCAGGACCTATAAGTTTCGCACGCGAACGCTTAACTTCTAGACCACTGAGCCGGCCGGCATCCTGAAGTGTTAGTGTCTAACTTCGACCAATTCACGAAGTTGCGCCACCATCCACAATTGTCTTCAATGAGATACTATCTCACTCCTCTAGTCACTGCTTTTCACTAGAACTCTAGGAAGTACCTCTTGGAGACCATCACTAGTGAGTATATGATGATTATAATCTGCTATGTCCCAATAAGCATAATGAATGGTAACTTTTGGGATCCATTTATGAACCACTACTATACATATATTTTTTATTGTATCATTGTTAAGTAACTAAACTAATCACATTCTTGTTTCTCTAATTATAAGCTTTATTTGGACCAGTAGACTATTATTATACGATTTACCATTCTTGAATTATGCCCTGTCTGTTAATTACTACCTCCTTCATTCACAGCCACGTTTGGCTAATTCTTGTACAAATATTGTCTCATATTTCATGGTACGGTGTGGTCTGTCTGGTTGATATACAAACCGAGTATGTTTGAGATAAATGATTCATATCACAGTGGTTGAGATTGGTGTTCTGGACTTAACTGGTTGGGCTAGGCGGAAAGCAGGAACGATAAGTACTGTAGACTGCTTGCACGGGTTTATACGTCACTGGTCCGACCGCTAATTCACTGCACTCTAATTGACGGTATCATGACGCTAAACATTAACAGGAAACACAGCCAACAAGTTATAACATAATCGGAAAAGTGTTTATTTGGATATTATATATTATATTATATTCTCAACAAAATATCATTTAAAGTTACACTAGTCACACATAGTTTCACCTGCATATTATACTTTTAAACACACTATTCATTGAAAGCATCATTTGGCACTGTATTCAAAAGAAAACAAAGAAGAAATCTGAAAAGTTTGATCTCATTATCATGATCCATCAATCATTTAAAATTGATCATTGGTCAATCACAAGGTTTACTTTATACTCATTTACTATGATGTACTTTATATTCATTTCAATAGGTTGTTAATTATTCAATGTCATTTAAGTTATATTATTGATGTCTACATTGAAAAATGAAATCTTCATCTAATTAATTCTTATTGATAACAATGATAATCAATAATCCATGTGATCAAAGCGAATGATTCCTTTTTTATTCAATATAGTACATGTTCAATTATTCAACTTTCATTGTTTTTACATAAAATGAAAAAATTAAACTGTTGTACTTTTACAATAATGAGTAGGTTTTAAAATAAGATATTATGAACTTTAAAGATTAGAAACGAAGATGGATGGTGGTGAATAATGGAATTCAAGAAGAGTGTTTCGTCTTATTTAGGGCTCATCAGTTGGATGTAGCTATATCTTGGAATTAATGTTCACTTTAGGGATCGAATTCAGTACGGTTCGCTTCAAACGACATCGCGTTATCTACTTAGTTATTAAGTCATAGATTCTATTGCTAGCCACCATCCATCTGTACTTATAATGCTTGTGAATTAAGGTTATATCGAGTTAGTCCGTACAAGATGCACATTTGCCAATAAGAGACTGATCAATTGCAGTCCTAAAGAACAATGGGAAGATTCAAACAAACAATACAAAATGAATTACAAGATTATGTTATGTGGGACCTGGAATTTTTTAATTACTACCACTCTGAATATAAAACAAAGTTTATCGCTTATTTATAACAAATGCATTTCCTGTTAAATCTCTTAAATGCTAAGTCACAATCAGAAATTTTATAGCAATTTACGTGCAATTGAGTTTGTTCACATTTAGTTTGGTTAAACCCTTTTATTAACTTATTTAACGGACAGAGTCATCCGTACTATAACAATTTACATCACTGTACCTTTATTATTGTTGTGCTGGTATGAAATATGTATGCTTGAAAATTGCTTACTAACGATGCATATATTCATTCTGCTAGCTTAGTGTTAGCTGCTTAATTGATTGGATGATTAATTTGCCGGAATCCACAAAACTCATTCTGATATATATATATATATATATATATATATATATATATATATATATATATATATATATATATCAGAATGAGTTTTGTGGATTCCGGCTCAGTGGTTTAGTGGTTAAGTGCTCGCGCGCGAGACCACTAGGTCCTGGGTTTGGATCTCGCGAAGTGAGGTCGTGGATGTGTACTACTGATGAGTCTCACAACAGGACGAAACGGCCGTCCAGTGCTTCCAGGTTTTCCATGGTGGTCTAGCTTCA